ATTAAACAAAAAAACATAAATTTGCTACACAAGATACTCCCTATTTTTAGCCTCCCTGTCTAGACACCTGAATGACTTTGGATACGTTGACTTTTATTTCTTGAGGAAAACGGAAAAAACGTCAAGAGTTTCTCAGCTGATGATCCGCAGAAATTTGTTTTTTACGCAAAATTGATAAAAAAAAAAAAAATCCTGTAGCAAAAAATCCTGACCTGATTGAGCAAACCCAAGGTCATTTTTGGACTCAGAGCATCAAAATTAGTCTAATTCAGCTGGAAAACCCTGGACTATTTTCAAAAAATACTTTTTTGTTAGCCAGTCTTATTATTACCAACCTGTTTTCCATGAAGCTCTGCCAGTTTGAAACATGACAACAAACATAATTGAAGCTCTCACCTGCGTGTTCTTGTGCCTTTAATTCGTGGCAGCACCAGTGTAAGAGGCTGCAGATGGGTGAGGCAGCTGCTGAGCCCCATGGGTTCTGTTCCACCTGGAGTCTCTCTGGAGCCTCACCTGCCCCTGTCACGCTCTCACTCCCACCCAGTTCAGAGCAGATCAGCGCAGAGCGGGGAAAACACACGGGCTGCCACTTAATCAGCTTCATTAAAACGAGTCATGTGAGACCGCCGTGTGGGAGGCCAGCGCTGCTCTGCTTCACATTCAACACATTTTACACTGATTTTACACTGGAGTCAGGATTACAAGATGCTTATCTCCATATTAATAGAATGTACTGCACTATTATCAGGCTTGTTAAGTACATCTCCAGTGTCAAGTTCATCACTCACTCCCAAGCTTTTTACAGGACTGGTTGTAATCTGCAATATGGTGGTTGTATTATGGTACGCTGTCTGGTTATGGCCCGATTTATATCCTTTAGATCAGTGAACATCTGTTAATCATGGCAGAAATAAATCTGGATATTTTTCTTCCAATTCAACAAAAATTCCAATAATATCCTCATAATTAAAAATAGGGAGTCAAGTTTGATATGTTTTAGGTATGTAATATGTTCAATTACTTTAAAACCAAAAAATTATGCCGAGATTAAATAGATTTTTCTATTTCTGTGAATTGTTTCTTACTCTGTGCAAGGATTGTATTAAACAACATTGAAAGAAACGTCATATTGTGGTATTTGTAAAGGTCAATACATTACATCTCTGAATAAGACTAAGTTTGCATTCAGGGCTGGGCAAGACATTTATTTAATTTGAGTAATCAGCTTCTTAAAATATTGACAATGTGAATAATGTAAAAAAAAATGAAATCAAGGTCAGGATTACGTGCTCATTTCTTGACAGGGTTCTCCTATTCTTCTCAGAGCTTCTATAGTTTTACTCTGTGAATTGAGTATAAACAGCATTCCAACTTATGGCTTATGGCTCCATCTGTACAAATCACAGCGTGCCTTCAGTGGTGTTCATTCAAATCGATTCAAAAGTGTAATCGTCCAAAGTAGGGAATGAAATTGAGATTTTACTTTTAACCATATTATCCAGCCCTATTTGCATTACTTCACTAACCAACCCATTAGGAATATTCCTTTTACTTAAACAGACATTTTACTTGGTCCGTCCAGCTCTTAACAATGTCAACTTTCAGTTCTAAAGTTTTGCAGGAATACTAAGCCTTAAGTCATGTTTTTTTTTGGTTCTGAAAGCGCTCTTGGCTTACTCTTATAAGTAATACTTTACTCTAGACCCGTTGTCTGGTAATTTGCAATGTGAGTGGGCTTTTTGGGCCTTCACCCTTTGGAGTGTGTTTATTTATTACCTAAATCGCTGTAGTGCTACATTTCAATATCTCCTGTGAGTGGCTCATTTCCTCTGCTGTTTGTGTACGCTACCTGCAGACAAGCGCAGCTAAAGGGGAGACGGGAAACAAAATTGGTCCAATTCAGATTTTATAGAGCGGCTTTTGTTTTCTATTGTATTCCATTATCTGGGGGCTTGCCTGAGTGGCTCAGTGACCAGTGATTTTCTGCCACAGCCCATCACATTCAATAGCCCCCTCCCTCTCCGCTTCGATAGCACCACAAAGCATTTCTCAGGGCTTTTAAGCACTTGTGTGGGACTTATCTATGGCCCTGATGGCCTGTCCACACCAATCCATTTTACTTCTGCCCCACGCTAACCTCCCTATTGATAAAGTGGTACAAGGTTTTTTTTTTTTTATCAGACCAACGTCGACAAAATGGCTCTGTAGGGAAATCTTGTGTTTTTGTGTGAAATGACTTTGGAGACTATAACACCGATTGTACATCATGAACTCGGACACATCCGTTTACTACAAGAATCGTTTCATTAAACTCAATAAAACAATGACATTATTTCACTGTGTTGGTTGCAGAATATTTTTCTAAATCTTTTGTCAAGCAACCAAAACGTACGTCACCTGCAAGACAATATGAAAACATTTTAGAAATGTCCCCACTGTGGGAGAGATACAAGTTCTCTCATTTTATCTTATGAGAGCAAGATACAGCTGAAGCGTATTACTGTTATTCAACTTGGGCCATGTCCACACGTAGCTGGGTATTTTAAAAAGCAAATATTTCCCCCCCTCTGTTTATAAAATAATTTGTATCCACATTACTCCGTTTAAAACATAAAAAACCTCATCCACACCTAACCGAATATTTGCGTTTTCAATCACATTCATAACATTCTAAACATGTGCGTCCTCTGACGTCCTGTGTTGGGGGGAAAACACAGAAGTGGGCGGAGCTTTGAAGCAAACACCGGTACTTCTGTAGCGTCACTTTTGCAATCATAGAAGAGACTCAGGGTAAAGGCATATGTTCACAAGCACTGACCCCGTCCTCAGCCCTGGTTTAGTCCTGGTTTAGCTCCTGTTTTGGTTGTTTTCGAGCGTGAGTCCCCGTGTCCACTTTTCTGCTCTCTGATGTGGAGCGAGGATGCTCATGTCCTGCTTTTGCTGCATCGCGTCGCCGAACCCACTGCTGCTGCCCCGCAGCATGATCCGGTGGGAACCACAGTTTTCACGGGAGATCCATGCTTTGTTTGTTGTTGTTTTGGCGCATATTGTGACGTGCGAGAACGCGAAACTCAGATATTCTCTGTCTACACGCAAATGCAAAAATCTTCACTTTGCCCGGAGTTTTTTTTTTTTATATATTCATTTATGATGCGCTGTCATGTGGATGACAGGTGCAAACAAAGACAAATATCTCCGGCTTAGCAGAAACCCAGCTACGTGTGGACAGGGCCTTGTAAAATGTGAAACCAATACATGATATGGACTCTTTTTTTTTTTTAGATGTTTTTTAAGACACTTGCCCAGGTCTGATCTAGACTGTAAAAGCAGGTTTGGTTGATGACACCTATAGCAGGGGTCCACTGCTCTGGTGTAAAGAGGTGTGCAGGCCCAGCATGCTCCTGGACACTCTTCTAAAGTCCACAAGAATCTGTAATGCTAGCTTGAGCTGGACACAGTTGAAAGTGGCTACTAATTTAAAAGGGAACTATCCTTATTAAAACTATTTTAGTTTTATTTTATTTTATTATTAATAAATCAGTAAAATAAGTTTTCAATATGAACGCCTCTGAGTCCGAATATTGAGGACGTAGTTGTAGGGGTCAAAGCTCTCACTTTAGTGTTTACGACTGCTTCTGTTGCGACACAAATAAGACTGTAGAGAAAAAAGAACAAGAATTTCCTTAGAATGGGTGTATTTGGCATGCCCCCGGGATGCAGCAATGAAAGTTACCGAAAGAAGAGTGTAAACAGCAGTCCTTACGATCTTTGACATAGAGAAGACGACGGTCCAAACAAACTGACAGAAGACACCAGCGCAAGTTCCATGATGCCACCCCAAATTAGTTCTATCAAGCTCCAACTAAAAACAGTTTTACGAGTTTCAACCCAGTATTCAGCAGAAAACACGACGACTGTCATTAAACAATGAATCCAGGTTTCACTCTAACTACGTTTAGTAAAAGATATAGATATGACACATACCATCATGTTTTAGACTTTAGAACCACAGACACATGTTTAGTATAAGACTTTAGAACCACAGACACATGTTTAGTGTAAGACTTTAGAACCACAGACACATGTTTAGTATAAGACTTTAGAACCACAGACACATGTTTAGTATAAGACTTTAGAACCACAGACACATGTTTAGTATAAGACTTTAGAACCACAGACACATGTTTAGTATAAGACTTTAGAACCACAGACACACGTTCACGTTCAGAATAAGACCATATATGTTTGCATTTGATTGAAGAAAGACACTCACCATTTCTCTCAAACTCAACATCTGGATCTGGGACATAGAGTTGAGGCTTCTCTCTTGGTGTTGCGGGTATTGACGTGTTAGCAGATGTTTGCTTGTTAGCTGATGTCCGTAAAAATAATCCATGTTGTCAAACCACCTCCAGACTTTTCGATTCTGTCCACTTTTACTGCTGTTATCTTTCATTTCACGGTAGTCACTTTTATGCTTCTTATCTTTTCTCTGCACTGCGCGACCTCTTCTTACGTGAGTTGTGAACACACACACAAACTCTCTGGAAAACCCACACAGGCAACTCTCTCATTATGGACTCAAGCTTCGAGCCCAACTCACGTGCCTGTCCGAAAAACAACCCCAGTAGGACCTCGTGGCCGCGAATCCCCATGAGGTGAACACACACACGTCTAGGGATCTCTTGATAAGGGCACCCCGGCTGGCACAACGCGTGCGCCGCCCATCAGGCCACACATCCAGCGGGACGAGCAACCTCATCACCACGCGACTAGTGGGACTTGACAAAACCCCAAATAGTGAGCTGCGCGAAATGTGAGACAGAACCACTAAACACAGCGCTAGAGAAACAGCACGCGTAAACAACCCGCGGTGCAGCCACAACCACAAGAAACGAGGAGTGACGTGTGGACCACAGCGAGTGTGCAACACTCCCTCCAATACACACACACCGCAGCGCGCACTGGAACCTCCTGGATCCCGCGTAGGACCAAGAACCATGGTACGCGTGCACCAGAAACCATGGACGCGTGGAATAGCTGAGAGTGGACTAGAACTATTTTTAATGTTTTTTTTTTTCCCACTTCACCAGAGTTTTTAGTGGCCGGGGGTAGGGGGTCGTTTATCCCAAACTCTTTGCTAAATTTTTGGTAATTGAGAAATATTAAAACAAAGCCCAAAGGACATAGGCCCCTGGATGGCCCTAAACAAAGCCATCCAGGCCCTATGTCAAGGGCCTGGATGTCTATTTAAGCCACTTTTGAATTCGAGCCAAATGAATCTTTTGTATTGGCTAACCAAAGAGTATAATATTTTACATTTTTCCCTCCTGATGGGTGTGCCCCCCACGGAGAATTTTGCTATGAAAAAAGGTGTGCCTTGGGCCCTCCAAAAAAGGTTGAAAAAATACTGGCCCCTAGTTGGAATGTTGACGGGACAGATTTTTTTCAAAAAAAAGCTTGGGGTACCCTTGACTTTGAAAAAAAACACAAAGAAATAAAAAAAATTGCAAGCAAAAAATCCATATCATCCTAACTCCATTTTCCAAACTACCTTGCTGGTTTTCTAATCACTAGTCCAAGTAAATTTTTTTTTTTCTTTTTCCGAGAAAGTAAAAAGACGTCTAAATAGTTCAGTTTTTTTACTTAAACGATACAATATATAAAGGCCAAATAGGAATGGGCGGGTTTTAGTTTTGTTCGCCAAAACATACTTTTTACAACTTTTTTAACCAAGACTCTTTTCTGTTTGACAAAACAAAATATAAATTTGATTATGGGAAAAAACGAGAATAAAAAAAGTTTAGGTTATCCCGGCTTTAAAATTATAAAAGAAGTTTCCCTAAGCTTGTTGGGGTTTTACTTCTTTTAACAATTAAAGCAGGAGATGGCATAATTTGGCATTGTCCCTTCCCTCAGAGCCCTGCCCCTTTGGGTTTGCGTTGGAACGAAGTGTGTCCTGTACCTTCTTTCGGGCCAAGTGAGTGGTTTGTAGCGCCCCCTTCAACGGTCCCTCACAAGTGCTGCCCCGTTCCCACCGCACACTCTAACAGCGGTCCTCTCCCGGAACCGGTCCCGGAAGCCCCAGCCAACGCCGGTTCCACGGGGGGGGGAAGCCCAACAGGGAGTGCGCGCTGGCGAGCGGGTGCACAAAAGCAGATCACAGGTGAAGAAGGAAGGTGTACAAAGTAAAGAATCCGTCCTACAGGAACCAAACTAAAACGCAGAACTACTTCAAGCCTTTCTGCAGAACTCGCAAGATACTAGGATGTAAACCTTGCTATCTTTTTTAAACTTCTTCATTTGTTCCTTCCTATAATGTTCCTCAGGAACACCTGCTTTTGTGCTTCCTTTTTTTACTCCTCTGTACCCAAAAACCATTTCTGTTTTTTATGTTTGTTTTTCCACCCATATATTTATAACAGGGGATGAATGGCGTGCAGTCGAGGCGAGGAATATGGGTAATTAGTATGGGTGAGGAAGCAAGTTGTTTTTTAAAAAAAAACTCCCCCACATGAGGGCGGCTAGAAGGTCACCCCCCACTTGCTCCTATAAATTACTCCCAGTTGTGTGGCTGGGTCGAACATGGCCTGTGGGGCCTCACATGGCTTTTTGGGGCCCACATGGCCCCTTTTTGGGCCCTCAAATCCTGGGGTGGGAATTTTTTTTTTTTCCACCAAACGGTTTTTTCAAAAATAAATATCCCCAAAACCCACCGGATTTCCCATTAGAATGAAACAAAAACCCCCAGTGGCGCGAGGAGTTGAGACACTCCCTAAAGTGGGAAAAATTCCTGATCCAATCCAACTGGTGTATTTGAGGGCACACAGAGGGGATAAAAGTAAGAACATTTTTGACCGGTGACAATTCCCTTAAAAAAGCTCAATTAAAGGAAATACTCCCAAGTTTAAAATGATAATAAAAATAATTAATGTGCCATTTTCCCTTCCCCAAACAGGTTAAATGTTAAACACTGCAAAGCTAAAAAAACAGCAAGCAGAAAACAGAGGGGAATGGTGTAGTTATGGTTGAGTTGAAAATAGGCACTGTCCAATTTGGGAATGGAAAAATTATAGTGGTTTTGATGTTTATTTAGGGTGAATTTTGTGCCAATGAGGCTGGGGAGTTTTCCCGTTTTAAGTGCTGTTTTAAATTTGAGGAGTTTTTCATTGAAAACCAATCCATTTAATATATAATGGAAGGAAGTTAGTGAAAAGAGGAGGGGAGGGAGTGCGGACCCCGTGGGGCGGCCCGGGCCCAATAGAGGGCGCTAGGGGGAGGAGGGCCCGGCCGCCCCACCACTCACAAAACTTGGCCCATGTTACCTTAGAAGTAAACCGGTGCGCGCCGGAAAAATAATAACAATATAAAATATTTTCCGAAATTTATGTTGTGGTTTTAATTTCAGATGTGGAAGAAAATACTTTATAGTTTTTATGCTGAGTTTTTGGATTTGAATTAAGCTCATCAGCGTTGTCCTGTGGGTCGGACCCTGGAGGACGTATTTTCCCGCCCTCAGGGCTCGCAAAAGATTTGCCGCCCCTGAGCCCATCGTTCTATGGAAAACTCCGTCCGTATAAAAAGTGTGTAACATGCGGCAGTAGCTCCCCTCTTCCCTCAAATGCAAGAGATAAGACGATTTGGGGGGGGCGCAGGAGAAGTGCGCCCTTGAGGGCCGGGATCGCCCGCGACTAAATGATGTTGTTCTCGTTATAACGCTTTTAAGCATATTAATAAGTAATAGTAAGATACTTATTAAAGGAGGAATAGTTTTTAAATCTATATGAAAAAGCTGCTAATTAAACGATTATAATTATCGATACCACATTAAATAGCCACTAAACAATATAGCCTAACAATATCAATACTAAGCTGCGTAATTAATGCTGCAATAGTGGTAAAAGGCCACTAACAATATGCGTTAATAAACTGCTTATTACACTATTTTGGCAGTACCCTAATCTAAAGCGAGAGTCATTTTTTGTTAGGCAGAAAAAAAACACAACATTGATCTAAGCTGTTTTTTATTTATTCAAACAGCAGACAATTACAGTCTAATTGAAAAAAAAAAAAAAATCAAAAAGAAGTTGAGCCAAAAGGTTGATAGTAACTTCAGGAGCCATGATGAACCACTCATGCTCCGATCCGGCGCTGTTCATCGAATTTGGCTTTGGCAAAAACAGTGAATCAAATGACTTCACACCTGAGAGATTAGCGGAAACACGCACTATTTTTTGGGCATCGTCCTGAGTCCTCACCGGGTCTGCGCAGTGGACGAGCTCCCATAAGCTTTGCGGGCAAATACGCGTGCGTGGCTGTCATGACCGGTGCACATAGGGCAGCTCTGACGCAATCAGAGCTGCCTGATTCAGAGCGGGAGTTAGAGCGGGAGCCAGACGAGTAGATTTTGTGGCAGTAAAATGTTGATTTAAAGGACAACTCGACCCTCAAATCACTTTTTTTTTTGCTTAGCAAACGGTATAAATTAGTGTCGCATGGGGTTGTCTACATCAGTGTTTTTTCAAACCACTGTGCCGCGGCACACTAGAGTGCCAGTATGAATATTGAACTGGTGCCGTGAGAAAATTCGTCTACTTGTCTAAAAATAACTGCATCATCCGCTGTTGACGAGCGGTGACCTTTTTTTGAACTGTGGAGTAACCATGTAATACTTTTTCAAATCAGTAATGGCAGCAGATAGCAAATTACTTTGAAACTGAAAAATTATGAGGCGACCACGGGCGGTACCAGGTCAGCATAGTGCGAAAAGTAAAATGGATGCGACAACAAATGGGAGGGAGCGAGACAAGAAGCTTTGTGGCAGTGAGAAGATGAGAAAGTGAAAGAGACGTTATAGAAAATGAATGATGCCGTTTCTGGAAGCAGGATATACCTCCTCGGCACTCCGCTCTGCCCGGGCAGCTTGGAGCCGCGATGTAGTGTTTAACTATGAAATGTAACAATTTTTGTCAACAGCTCTCAGCGAACCACTTCTGAACTGTGTACCGAGTGCAGACCATAGTCCCGCGTGGGAACAGAACCACAGAGACATGCGGACCGGACGAACCATGGACTCATCAGCGTTCAAGGACCTCCCGTGTCCCTACATCCAAAAACCCCTGAATTTAAAGCTCGTATCGCTAAATTTTATCCATGCACTAACAAGCATGTTCCTTTGTGTGGAGTTATTATTTTGACTATTAGGGCAGAGAGTGGATTTTTCTTAGTTTTTTTTCCACACAGTTAGTGCACTTTATTCCAAACTCTTGTTAATTGTAACGAGAAAATATAAATAAAGTCTTAATGTCAAGGCCACGGACTTAAGCATTTTGATGAGAAATACCTGGCAAACCGCTATGCAAGCCCTCTCCCCCGACATCCCAGCCCCCACAGGCAGATTCCCTTGGAACAACTGCAGCGTACTCTAAACGCTCGAGGATCAATCCACTGCGAGGAAAACGCTCCTAAAGGAAGCAGCTCCCTGCAGGCGAAAGAGCGGTCCACCAGCCATGTTGGCCTGTTCCCCTTCTTTGACCCCAGTAGCCGCCAGCACTCAAGACTGGGGTAGCAAGCCATCATCACCACCGCTCACAACCCCGGTCGCAGCAGCGCCCAGAGCCAGCCCCGCCACCGCTCCAGCGTCCCCGACACACAGCGTGGGTTGCCTGTACTGAGAGTCAGCACCCCCGCTCCTCCTCTCCATGTGTTCAGCGGCGCTCAGGCTCGGGTCCTGCCTTCGGGTGAACCCGCAGGTTTTCCGACCACCGAGCTCCTTCTCCGAGGGCCACTCTCGCCCCCGACCACTCTGATTATTGGAGACTCCATCGTGAGGCACGACCGCTTCTCTGGATAACCGCGGGCACTACCGCTGTATGCCCGGAGCTACCTGTACCAGACCGGGCTCAGACGCCCTCCCTCCTCTGCTTCAGGCCCGGCCTGATACCGAATTCCAAGGTAGTCGTGCATGTGTAAGGTAACGACATGAAACTGCAGCAGTCAGAAGTCAACTAAGAATACAGTTTAGTGGATCGGTCCACCTCCTTCAATCCTCCGGACGATCTGTTGTTTTTATTGCTGGTCCAACCCTCCAGACTGTAAACAGATAGGTGACGACTGGCCTCTACAGTCGGTGGTTGTTGCGCTGGCAATATGGGGCATCCAGGGCTTACATGCAGCTACTGTTAAACGGTGGTCTTTGTGGTGAATAACTATGCCCTGTTCCTGGAAACGTAACTGAAGCCTATCTCCAGACGTATACACCCACAACAGATACGGGTAGCAGCCGGTTGATGGAGTCTACAGACGTTACGTTGTTCAGCGGTGCTCCCCGAGGGGGCGTGACTGTTTTACATCCTGAAGCCCCCGCGGACCCCCACCGCATGAACTCCCCCGCCTCCTGGCTCACCAGCACCGGGTGAGGTACAACGGTTGCAAACAAACACGGCCGCCCTGTCCGGTCTGGCATTGGCAATGAACCAGTCCAAACACGGAATCTGGTGCGGACCGCCCTGCGGACTCTGGGACCAAAGAACAACAGCAAGGGTTTTCCCACAGTTTAGGCTCCTATTGTAGACTGTGTGTGTTCCCGCACCTGCTCAATAAATGTTTTGAGTAAATTTCCTGAAAAAACGAAATCAAAACAGGACAGCAGTTAGACGGTCCAACTCTGCAAATCTAATTTCGGTTCCCTGTAGATAATCAACAACCACATTATCGACTCTGACGTGTATTGTTTATAACTTGCTAATAATGTCAGATCTCTATGTAACAAATCGTAAATAATTTATATCACTTCATATGATCATGAATTTTATGGCTTAAGGCTGAAACAGACCAAAATACAGGAAATGCAGTTCTAAATAGAAGCAACACCACCCAATTTTAAATTCGAATCCGGAATACGAGAAAAACAAAAGGGGGGGACGAGGCTGCAGTTTTTTAGAGAGCACTTTGTCTCCCATTAGAATGCCCCGTTGGAAATTTTTTCATCGTTTGAGTATATTTCTTTTATAATGGAAACAAAAGCAATCTTCTAACTCTTTTCATTGTCCTGAACAGGCCACCACAGTCATGTTGCGATTTTTATTGACCATTTTACTACCTACTTTCATCAATCGTGTGCACCAGATTTTGAATGAGTTTAGTTATAACAGGTGATTTTTAATG